AAAAATAACGAGAAAAAACAAATAATGTATGTTGTGCGAATAGCCCGAAAAAATGAAAATACAATAAAAATATGAATAAAATAATTTATCAAATGATGGTTATAGAATTAAATAAAATCGCAAATTGAATAGAATAAATATATGTAATCAATGAATTAGATATATACAAATATATGTTAGAATAGTAATAACTCATTTAATAAAATATAAAAACTAAATCTATATTCTACACTATAAACACATTGCAAATTATAATACTATAAAGAAAAATTAAACTATAAAAAAATGTTATGTCATTTATTATGCTCATTTTATTGAATAATATTTATTAGAGTACAACAATATATTGCTGTAGGCAGAAAATTAATTACTTATATAAAAAAATATATAAGTAATAAAATATGACATATGAAAAAAAAAAATAAATAATATAGAAGTAAAATAGACATTCCTTTTTCTCAAAATCTCAAAATATACACATCCTATATATATAAGAAAAAAATGAAGAATAATATAAGCAGAAATGGTATCTGTTTAAAATTCAAAGTTGAAAACAAAATTATAATTAAAAAAAATTATGCAAAAAACCTTATCTAAGCAATGAGGAATCTAGAATTAAATGAGTAATCATTAATACCTTAATTCTAAAGATTTTAATTCATTTATTTATATCGTTTTATCTATAATTTAATTATTTTTAATTTAAACTTTTATGGTTTTTCTTTATAAGTGATATGAAAACTTATTATAAATTATAATTAATGTTACGAAATATAACATATAGCTTAAAATGATTTAAATATGTATATATTGGAGTAATATTAGAATATATTATTAAAAAATAAAGGATTAAATTACTTTGTAGCAAATTGTAATTCTTACAACACTATGAAAAATAATTTTATACATTTATATAATATATTGTGGAACTAGAAAATATTGCGAGGTGCGTTAAAAAATAACACATACTTTGTAAAATCATTATAATTTTTTTATTATATAGTCCATTATTACACTCAATCGTTATGATTCTTATTCACCTAGAGTTACAATTTCTTCTTGTAATGTTTTAATTTTATATATACTTTTTCCATACTGTAATTTATTTTCTCTTTTTATGTATTAATACTTGTTTTTATTTATATTGTATATATAATATAAAATTGGCATATAATACAAATAATATAATAATATATTCATGGAACAACTTTTGTTTCTCTTTTTATACAAAACTAATATGAAAGTAAACATGAGATAGCACAGAAACTCTACTGCAAACATTAATGGGAAAATATTCTTAAAAAAAAAATAATAATAATGAGCATTGCAGAATCATCTGTATATAAATTATATATGAAATATTCCTTACAGAAGAAATAGAAAAATATGTGTTTTCTATGTAATACAATTTTTCAGAAATAATCATATTGAATAAAATAATTTTCAATTTGATATAAAAGGTTTTGCAGTTTTATTAAGAACATTACACAATGAACGAAATGAATAATGGAAAAAAAACATGTTTATTCACAAAATAGAGAAATATATTAAATATACGACCTTTAACTCTATTATGAATTATTTATAGATATTTCAATTTATTAATAATTCAAGAGGAATTATAAAAAATCTCTTATTTCTCTAGTCATTTCTGTGATAATTCCATTAATAGGTATATATACTTACAGAAATTATTAGGACAAAATATATTTGAAGAATCCTAAAAACAGTTAATCCCTTTATATATATACATATAAAAATCTTTTTAAATAGTTCTCATAACCTTATACCTGTATTCATTGTAACATAGATATAAAAATATTATGATGAAAAATTAGTTTGTATATAAATATATATATAGTTTTGTATACAACAAAAAATAACAAAATCCAATATACTTATATATATAACTGAAATTAATTACATAATATAGTGGTTTTAATTTTCAGCATGAAAAATTATTCAATAAAATAGATTAATTATATTGTTTGGAGAACTAAAAATTATATTAATATTATTATAATGCATGAAGACATATTAAAACAAATATTAATCCAATTAAGTTAATGTAAATATATATAAATATATAAGCCTATATCCTAATTATTAGTAACTCTATTGACATAATTTCTTATAAATGTATTTAAATTTGAATAATAGAAAATTTACTCTTTTTAATTATATTAAGATTCAGTATTTTTTAACATTCCTTTAATTCTTCATACATATATGATGTAAAAATAGATAAAAATATATCTCTCTAATATTTTTTTCATAAAAAAGTAGAATTTTGCATATTATGGAAAGCAATAAATGTGTTTTTTCTTTTGAGTTCCTTTTATTTATCTTATGAATAACTATAATAAAAATATCATTAACATATATTCTATATTTATATAGCTAGGGCGCATAATACATATAATGATATATTTTAAAAAATTCCAATTATAAGGATAATAATAGTGATATATCACATTTGGTGTGTGATAAGTCTAGAATCACTATAGTATATGATATTATGGATATAAGTACATTTATAGATATAGCCCTATTATGGAACATATTCTTACTAATATTGAATATTTGATAAGTTATGTAAACATAATATAGATATTGAATTAAAAAAATAAAAGTAAATATTTGAAAATAATATAATATATAATTTTAAAATATACGACATATTATTTTTATTTAAACATTGTATAAATTTCGATACAGTACTTATATATATCGTATATTATACGAACATTCATGAACATAATTATAAGGCTATTTTTTTTTTACTTTTTAACTTTTTTTGATATTTTATAAAATTATGTTCTAAACATATTTCTGTTCATTTTATATATATAATGATACACCTCTTAGGAATATTTTAACCTGAAATTATTGTCCCCTTAGTTGTACATATATTTTTTCATTTTAATAATTTATATGCTTTGACTCTTATAGACTAGACAAAAAAATAAAAAGAAAAAATACAAAATATATAAATAACGTATACTCTATTGATTAATGAATGTTTTAGATTCATTAAATATTTACCAAAAAAATAAAATTATATAAAATGTTTTTCATCGTATATAATATTAAACTAAGTACCCCAACATATAAATGAAGAATATTCGAAATAAAATTATTAGTAGTTGTAAATACCAGTTTGTATGCTTAATTGTGTTAAATATATACTAAGAGAATAATTTATTCTCTATAATTCCTTTTTTTTCATTGTTATATAAATTATACGAATGTTACTATAATATCGATTAAGTAATAAAATTATATGATAATACACTTTCATTTTTAAACATTTTCTTATAACGTTTGTTCCTTTAAATACAATTATATATGTGATTTTTCTAAATAAATTATATATTTTTATCTTATAATATTTTAATTATAATGTATGATAAGTAAATATATAGAAAAATTTTAACATTATTTTCATGCAATAAGAAAAATAAATCCTGTTATTTCTAAAAAAATATAATATAACACATTCATTATAGAAATAATTATTAGGTACACAAAAATATTAGTGATTTTATTCTTGTTGCTTTAAGTGAAGAAAAAAAAATTAAATGATAACGTGTTGGAAAACATGAAAATGTTATTTTCTCACAAAAAATATTACAACATCTGTGATATAGAATATTTTCATGTATAAATCATTATACATTATTATTTTTTATATTATTTTTATAATATAATTATGATAACTATATATTATATATAACAAAAATATATAAAACTGTTTTAAAATCTAGTAATGAAGGAATTATACATTAAAAAAAAAATAATTTTTACATAAATTAGATAAAATTTATAACTAATTATTATAATATTAATTGTTAATTTAACAAATTTATATATATATAAGGAAAATAGAATACTTCGTGATGAACTGACTACGAATATCAAATAAATATTAAACAGTATTATATATAAGATTACATTAATAAATACTTTTTATTATAATAATTATGTTTTAATTGTGATAATGTATATATACTTCAGGAGTTAGAATGGAGGATAGCTTATGAATAATGACAAATAATTTAAAAAATGAATTTAATAAATTCTATAAATTGTGGTACTTCTTACAAGCTATTATTATACGATAAAATTATTAATATATTTGACCTACATAATGATAAGAATTTGAAACATTATAAATCCTCTCAAGTTTCATATTTGGATAATAATATTGATATGCTTAGCTAAGTGCAATAATAAGCAAATAACATCATTACGCATTATTTCATAAATATCTTATTCCATACAATAAATATAATACTATGGTATTTATATTTATTAAAAATAAAAAATACATATATATTTATAATTATAATATAAAAGTAAATTGATCTAATATACACTATTATACAAAACTATACCAAAATATTATCTATAATATATTAAGAACATAAATACTATGTACTTCAAAAAATGAAAAAAAGAACATAAATATTCGTTTTGCAATAATATAAAAATCATAAAACATACATACCTAAAACATGATATCTGAAAAAAATAAATTAATCATATATGACTTAACATTATATAATTTTATGGAAATACTAAAACTAGACTCAAGAATATATCTCTTATTCTGTAACATATGGAAACTTTATTGGAATGCATATATTATATTAATATTAAAATTGTAAAAAAAAATTTTAAATAAAGAAAAATATATATATTAATTAATAAAACATATTTTATAATTATACTTCATTAATTTAGGCATAGGTTAAATTTTTAAATTTATAAAGTGCATATATTAATATATATACGTACAATTCTTCTTATATTTACAAAAATTTATTTAAATTTTCCTGTAGTGTAATATATATATTAATAAATTTAATTTATTAATCATATATTCTTATGTATTATTTATAGCATATTCCTGATACTAAATAAAACTTATTTAATTTTATTCACATAAAAATTTATTCAATTCAATCATTTTTTGTATTGTTATAAATACGTAAAATATGAGTTCCTCTATTCCATTGACTATTGATGTATATTATTATTTGTCTTCAAAAATTTAAATTTATTTTTCTCAGATTGAATATATATGAGTTTGTAAAAAGCAATAAATGACTTCATAAAAATATAATTTAAAATTATTTTATGCATTATGATATTTTTTTTTAGTTTGATTTTAGTGGTATATTTCCTACGTCTATTGAAAATTTTAATATTATTGAAGAACAAATTGGGATAAATTATGCAACAGATACTTTTTATAAGGCATGCATTAAGATTAATAGTGAATTTAATATATGGGGAGATAGTTTTCATAGTATTTGTGTTTTTCTTAGTAACTACTTAGATCGTATAAAGGAAAAAACATCTAGTGATATAAAACCGTATTGTAGGTATTTCAACTACGTATTAAAAAATGAATCAAAAAAATTTTCAAATTGTATAGGAGAAAAACAGTGCTATCAAAAAATGATTGATGTATACGAAAGAAATAAAAGAACACATATGGATAAATGTAAAGATGACGTAATTGATCTTACAGATGATATATTTACAATATTGAATTATCTGAATTCATTGTATAATAATCTTAAAACATTAAAAAATAAAAGTGGTGCATGCCATTCCCATAGTTCCTGCTTTAACAATTATAAGGATTTTTTACATAAATGTAACAGTGTACAAAATATCAGTCTACAAGAAGTGAAGAAAATTGTTGAAGAAGCATATAAGAACTATATTCCTATCGATTACGATACTTCGGATGCATTACAAGACATACGTTCTTCTCCAGGTGTCTCAGATCATGCACCTTCCTTATATAGTATAAATTCTCGAAAGGTAATTTTAGTTTTATTTATAATTACTCTTTCAATAACTGTAATTCCATTCTTTTTGTATAAGGTTAATAATAAAATAAATTTGTGAAATATGTAATACAATAAATTTTATATTTCACATTATAAAAATTAAAATTAGGCCTTAATATATGAATAAAAATACAATATTTCTTTTTTATTGTCAGTTTACACGAAGTCGTTTATATTTACAACAAAGAATAAGGATGTTAAAGGAAATTTGGAACAAAAAAAGCAAAGAAGATTTTACATCAGAGAGCTCATTCTTTTGTAAATATCAGGAATATATAGATAAAGGTATGGATATATCATATAATATATTAGAATACTCCTAAAAAATGTACAAAAAAAAAATAATAAATAAACACTGTTTGTTCTAATTTGTACCATAAAAGCATTTATTCTCAGTATAAACATATAATCAAAAATTAAATATAAAACAAGAAATATATAAATTAATGAGAAAAAGGTAAAAAGAAAAAAAGAATTAGCAGTTTTATTAAATAAACATATTAATATATAAACAATTTATATAGATTCTTATAAAATGTACAATAATTATGCGTTCTAATAAGAACTACAAAAAACTAATAAATCATACACAAGAAAATAAATATATAACATATTATAATATAAATAAATGATTTTAAATCAATATTTACAAACAGAATTCATTATCAACATTTGTTACACGTATTTTTCAAAGGTAATAATTATATAATATATAAAACATAAAGAGAAATATGTTATATGAGTAATAAATAAAGGAAATATACGGTGCTATAATGCTTAAAAAAGTACAATTATGAGAAAAGAATCATGTATAAATAAATTTTAATTTTAAAGGTATCAATTTTCAATTATGAACACAAGAATGTTTTTGAAGATTCATAGATTCTATTAATTTAACTATAGTATATTTCAAATATTCATATTTAAATAGTACAAAATAGCATAATACTAAATCATTCCTGTTATTATTTTAGCAATCCTTAATAATTTAAACTCTACATATTAATAATATGCAATGAATAACATATATAATAATTCAGGGAATTACAGATATCACAAATTTGTCATATAATTACCGTATATATATTATAATTATATTATTATATTAAGAATTAAAATTTTTGTTATCGGAGTTATTTGTTTAAAATATGTTATTATTATTCTAAGTATGTTTCATGTGATTATAATATTTATAAATTAATGTATATTTATATATTTATTTATTTATAAAAAATATAAATTATTAATTCCAATGTCTCAAATGTTTCCTATTGTGTACATTATACTTTAAATGCATATCATATAGCACCAATATGTTAGAGCTAAGGATATGTTAAAAAACTAAAAGCATGGCATACAAAATCAAGACCTAATAAATTTATTTTAGTCATTCATAATATATGAAAAAATAGAACACAGGGTATATGTCATATTAAAACAAAATCTTGAAAATACTATGTATAACACTACACATGAATGAGTTAGATATATAGACATTAAGAATTATGCTATATATATAAATAAATTAATCTATGCTGCAATCATATAAAAAACCACAAATTCATAGATGATATTATTAACATAGAATCAGCAAATATAAGTGTTATTTTTAATAAAAATAACAGCATTAAATAGCAAAAACTTATAATAACCTTATATGCACTTTAAATTCTCATATTTAATACTTTTTTTTGTGTGAATACATGTAAAAATGTATATTTTTTATTCTTTATCATACAAATTTCTTGAAATACTTAATAATTTCAATCATTTATAAAAATTATACATCATCTTTCTTCGTGTACATCATTCATATAAGATACAAGTATGTTGTACCATATTTAATATGAGAGTTTGTTAAGAAATTTATTTTTTTATTAAATTTCATTTCAAGTTTCTATTTAATATTTAAAATATTTTTGTTTAATATCACTATGTAAGCAAATATTATTTAAAAAATAAATAAACTTTTTATATATTATCAAACATGTTTTTTTAACAAATAGACTATAATGTTTAGAAATATTTTCTTTTTTTTTTTTTTTTGTTGTAGTTGACAGGATTATTATTGCGTATATATAATACGCAAGATTTATTCCAATAATATTTTGGGATTATTATTTAAAATTTATCTGTAGGTTCTACACTTTTAAATGATAATATAACGAATTTAACAATCTCTCTCTCCCATTGTATATATATATTTCTCGTTTATTTTTGTAAATAAAATTATCTATAAAAATAAACATAATAAATCACATCTTTTTTATTTATTATGAATTTAATTAATACATTTCATTTTTAAAAATATCTAATTATTATACTCTTACAAGCTTGTTACATCTAATACATTTCATTATCATATATAAAAGGTTAAGGAAACTATATAGAAAGGGTTCGTGTAATTAAAATATGTTTTCTATATTGAATTAAACCCCAATTTTGTTAGAGTTATATTATTGAATTAAATATTTATAATATAATGAATATGTTGGTATATATATAATTCTTTTTATTATCTAGTAAAAATTCATTATATTTGTTGATCTCGCATTTGCATATTAAACGTATTAATATGTATCATTAATTTATTATAACTGTTATAGTTTTTAACATATATTCATTCATACGAAATTTATATAATAATAAAACAGGTATGCATCCATCTGAGTTCTGAGTATGAAAAATCTCAAAATTATCTAAGCATTTATGAATATACATTGGTCTATAAATTAATAATCCTATAAATTAAAAGATTTTTCTCCAAAAAATATATAATGCATATAAAGAAACATATGTTTTATAATAAATCCAATACATAATAACTCATACTATTAAATATAAATATCAATAACAAAATGAAATAAAGTTCATGATAAAAGAGACAGAAATATTTGAATAATATAAAATATTACAATTCCGTTTCATGCTGCTTTTTTTAAACATCAATGTACTTACATGATGCATATTATGTAATATATTAACGTCTATATCCAATTATTAATAATTCATTGCTATATTTATTTATATACATAACACATCAAAAAATACAATATTTTAAATTATTAAAATCAATAGGACCTTATGCAGATTTTACTCTTAGTAATACGTATTTATGAAATTGTTTATTATTGCGTATTAAACACATATAATAAATTATGGAATATTTATTATACACTTAATGAAAAATTAATGTGTATAACTATATAACTTATAGAAACTAATATATATTATTATTCATTATGGTTATGAAAAATGAAATTATTTATATTCTTATTTTTTTTCAACTTACATGATATTTAAATATATATTTTGAAAAAAAATTCTTTATATTATATTAACATAAAAAAATTATATTTTGACAAGGCATTTTAAAATCTAATTATTAAGTTCAATGCTTATAAATTATCTATTAATAGCATAGTATTTTCATATTATTCTATAACAAATTAACATTTTTCTTGATTGTGTAACTGATAAATGCTTTAATAATAGCATCATCTCTTGTAATAATAATAAATTAACTATAATACGTCTAATTTGCTATAATAGCATCAATATTATTATATTCAAGAAAAAGGATTAGAATACTATACTTTAATTAATTCAAAAGGGTGTTAAGCATAAGCTAATTATGTTTTAAAATATAGAAAAAAATTATTAAATGCATAATATCAATATTACAGATTTTTATCAAATAACTTATATATTTCGTCTTAATATACTTGACTAAAAAAGATACGTTTTAAAAAAATAAAATTGTAATAAGCATAAAATATATTTTTTTAGCTTATTGGGTTTTATAGCGTAAAATATTTATTTTTTATAAATAACTATAATGAAATTCAATTTTCAAATTACTAATAGCAATATAAATACGATAAGTAATATTAATGCAAATTATTTTTACAATCGTGCTTAATTTATTCATCCTTGTCTTTTTTTCAAGCAATAAATTTATTTTTTATAATAATTTTTCTATATAATGGATAAAAATGAAGAATTTTTTTTATG